ACCTGTCCAGCTGCAAGTAATCAACTAGCAGGTGGACACAGTGCATCATTTAGATACTAAAGAGCCAGATGTTTGTTTCATGAGTTGATGGAGACCAAAACAGAGATAGAAGGAGAGTGCATATTGGACTTAAACATGACTCCAAATGAATGCTAAAGTTACTCTGTGTTTACAGCATGTGTAAAAAAGCAACGGTTTGCTAACATGTTCATCATAATGACTTTACAAGGTGACATATAGGCAGATATACACTATAGAAGAACTGTATGCGCTGATATCCTCTGCCACTATATTGCTTAATGCTTGAATCCATATGTGTTGCATAAACACTCCAGGGAGAAATAGAAGTTATAACTTAGCATTCAACCTGTGCATGTGTGTGTGTCTGAATCTATGTGTGTGTCCTCTGACTTTCTGCAGGGGGTGGTCATGTAGACTTTGATGATTTCTGTGAGCTAATGGGGCCAAGGATGCTGGCTGAGACGGCTCATATGGTCGGGCTGAAGGAGCTCCGCTGTGCCTTCAAACAGGTAAGGGGTGCCCAGCTGGAAACTCTAAAGAAGTCTGACTTCAATTAAGTGAAAGGGGCCTGGTAATGATGACAGTACTTTGAAGTGTGCAACAGGACCTTTCCTTTGAAAGTGCCAAGAGTACATGGCTCTTATTTTTAAAAAAGTCCAATGGAAGAGGGGAAACCGGCTATGCATACAGAAGAAAAGGGGGTGGGAAAACATTGATATTGATTTGTGTTTATGAGGCCTGGTTCCTTCCATCCAAATTTGTCTCACCTGTTAATTCGTCTCACCTGGTGCCTCATTAGTCTGGAGGAAATACCTATTGAGTTTGCTGTCTTTGACGCCAATACAGACTCAGGTACAAGAGTGCAGAAATGATTGTCCCCCAAAGCCAAGCGTGTGGTGTGACGTAGTCTCTTACCCAGCAAAACAAATGAGGTGATCATTTTATTTATATAAGCACAGCTTCACACACCTGGGTGCTTCCATTTAATAAGGCATGATAGTTTTTAATGGTAAATGGTAATGCACATCATCACTGCAAAACAGTGATGATGTGCTCTAAATGTTTATACTGAAAACATACCAGAGTATACAATATGCTACTGGAATTAATTTATCTATATTATAGATTTAGCCTCATGCATTTAGTTTTTGGCTCCTATGAAAAGCAAGCCACTGTGAAATTATTTATGCCAATAAAGTGATGGCAAATAGATATTCAAATTCTGTATTTATCAGTAATAGTATGTAAAATGTGCTTTCTACATAGAATTATTGATCAAAAATTACTGTTTGGAGCTATACAGCAAATTTTGTCAGTTAAATAACCAGGGGGGCTACTGGATAGATCAAGCTTTTATCAAAGCTTGTAGGCAAGACACCAAAAGCATCACTCCTCTACATAAAAGGTTTTAAAAGTAGATGCTGCTCTGTTAATAGATCAGACATATTAAGGTTTTTAACTGTGTCCTCTATTTTGAGAATGCAAGCTTATCTGGCATTGTATCTGGATTTTATTCAACCCACGTCAAGGTCCTGCGTGGCGCTGTGAAAGGCCAGAAATTCACATGTTCTGACATTTGAATCCATTTGTGGAGAATAATGAATAACTTCTCAACTCTAATACTTCTGAACAGAAACTTCTGAAACTTGAGAGCAGGCATCTCTCTGAACATTTTCAACTCCTCATAGTTGTTCTCACTTCACTAGTCTACTAACACCTCATCAGTCAGCATTGCCTCATCTGCAGACACAAGCTGTTTTCAGACTTCCAGGGATCTTGTGCAGCCATGTTGTAACTATTTAGCCTACTGTAAATGTGAAACTCAATTTTGACTTTAAATATTTTTGCATGAACGTCTTTGTCTGTTTATATTTATTTCCATCTTTGTTCCTCCTCTACTCATTACATCATAGTGTATGCAGTCTCTCTTCACCCTCTTCAATAGCCCAGAAACATGTAACGTTGTTTGTTCATTCTGTGTTCCTTGTCTCGCCTCTCTTCACCTATGATCTCTTTAGTTTACTTTCCTTACTCACTACATGCTCATGTCCCCACCTTCTTGCTCTCCATTAACTGTACACGTTGCAGTTTGACTGTGATGGCGATGGAAAGATCACGATTGATGAGCTAAAGGAGGGCACAAAGACCCTTCTGGGGGAGAAGCTGAAGAAAGGCGAGCTGGAGGAGATCCTCTCTGACATTGACCTCAACAAAGACGGCAACATTGACTTTGATGGTGAGTGGTTGGGGATCTGAGGGGAGAAATATATGCGAGGAAAGTGGATAGGCTCCAGGCAAGGTGTGAGAGGACATTAAAACAATTAATAAAAACAATGATTAAACACTGAGACAGGGGTGCGGATGGTGTACAGTATCCCACTCAGGGCTAATTGCAGGCTACCCCAGGGGGCACTTCTGCAGTTGCCAGAGGGAACGTGGAAATTCCCAATCAAAATTTAACTAACTCAACTAAAAAGAAGAAATTGTGATTTGATAAGAGAAATGTCCACATATTTGTGTTGAGGAGGAAAATAAAGAGCTATTCCAACAAGTGTTCCTGATGAGTCAGTTGCAGTTGAGTGCGTGAATTTAGCAAGCAGAGAAGTCGAAACAGTTAACTAAAAGTAATGGATAAAACGCTCAATGCTGTGGAGTAATAAACAGATTAAATGGTACAAGGTATAGATAAACTCTTGAAATAGTAAGCTAAATTAATGTATAGTCAAATAGCCTGCTAAAATGAATGGTTAAAATAGTTAGGGTGGATGGATTGAAAGAGTTAGCTATAGGTATTGATACACAGTGGAAATGGTTAGCTTAAGGTATTGATAGACAGCTTAAATAGCTAAAATGAATGGATGTATTGTCATGTCAGTTTTTTGCTAATCTAGTAGTAGCCTAATAGCTTCTATTTTATAATTTAAAGCATTTGGCACAGTACAGTTACATCCAGTTTGGAATAAATTTTTACACATTTGGAACATGACAAATGTGGTGCCGGTGAAGGGGATACTTCAGCTCATCAGACTTAAAATGTTGGGAACTGCTGGTGTACAGGAGGGAAGAGCGAACTACAGAGGACAATGAAGAGGGTTCAGTGAATCTAGCTGGAATGGGTTGAGGATGAAGGGGACAAGAGGAGAAAATTAGTAAGAAATGAGGCGGGAAGAGGGTGAGATGAGAAAGCGGGGGGTGGTGGTTAAGTCAAGGTGGGTTGGTTGGAAGGCCTGTCCAATTTAATCAGAAGTGCATTAAGCCAATCAATACACATGCCTGGACACCTGTCACATGTTACACAAAGAACTCACATGGTTGGACAGCTCAAGGACAGAAATGTCATTTCATGTTACCTTGCAGGCAAATCAACCATACCGTGGGACACAATCACACACATATCAACACCATGCATGATGGTGCGATTATAGCCTGCAGCACACAAAGGGCTTAGAGGTCCTGTTTGTTTTGTCTCAGCAATCCAATCGATTACAATTATTGGGGACAGGTATGTCAGCCTCAGAGGGGATCAATAAGCTGGTGCTGCTCCTTACCATCAATTAGCCCCTGGGGCAGCGTTTGAGTGTATGTGTCCAGTTTAGCCACATGGGCAGAAAACACAGGAGATCGCTCTGAATATCCAGGTGGCAGGTCAAACTCAAGTGTTAGGAGGACTGAGCTGCTTTTCCGCTCAGTTTACTTCTTTTTATAGAAAATGGTTAGAGGAGTGAGTGTCTCAAGAGATAATGTAAGTGTGTTAATCTGGAATTATCTTCAGTACTCAGTCGATCAATAGATTCTCACCTACAATCAGACGTCTTTGAGAGCGAAGCGCTTGAGGAAGTCAATGGGAAATGGAAGACATGATTGACTGGATGGATTTAAGGACTCCTGCCTCAAGCGATCTACAGCTAGGTGTCATTGACAGGACATATCAATAGCTGTCTTGATTGACAAGTGGATCTACTGTATTGTGTACAGCCAGCTGAAACAAGTCGTAATCAGTCTGAATATGAGTCTGGAAACTGTCAGTCAGCATATTGGAGTTAACATTTTTACATTTAGGACTGGGTTTAATACCTATCCAGAAAATGTGTTTCAACAACAGAAGATAAACAAAACTGCCATTGACCTTTTCCTGTTTATTCTCTGACGTGTCACTGTTTAATTTTTCATCAACCTGGTGATAATGGAAACATTTTGGTCATAACATCTGTTAGTTTCCTGTGCAATGTCACGTGGGCTGATCATGATGCAGCTGCATCCCATGCTGTCCTCTTATGATATTAGATTGTCAGTAGTCCTTATCCGCTGATATCTCTCCCTCTACAGAGTTTGTTATGATGCTTTCTGCACGATGACCTCTGATGGAATAAGATGGAGCATGCAACACTGGACTTGTGGTGTAGGCTACCAACTCATCAACACTGGCTTCTTCCTGCTGTGTAATTCTTTTTCTGTGACATTCCATATTTGAAATGTCTGATTGTAAAAAGAGATCTGTGTATATTCTCGGAATAAAAGTTGTGGTTGAGTAAGTGCGGAGGGTAAAGGGTGAGTTATGAAACACTATAACTATGTAAAAATAATGCTGCACTTTTGCCCCCTAGTGGTTCAGAAGTGTATAGCGTCTTCAGGTCTTTATTGTGCATGGGTTAAAGGCCCTGAAAACTTATTCTCAAATCTATCTGAGTGATCCTACATGAACACACTTTTCTCTGCCAAAGTTGGAACAGTTTGTGTAGTTTTTTCCTCTGTTGTCTTCTGACTGATTTAAAGTGGGCGGGGGTCTGTTGGAAAAAAGTGATGATACATACTACTGTGCACCCATCAGAATTTAGCATCATTTTAATTCTGTTAGTGATTCCTCTGGTTACTGCCAATCAAATTTAAAGTGAAGCCGCTGCTGTGATGTAGAAGTTCCAGTATGATGCCAGATTGCTCAGTGGCTTCTATTAAACTGGTAAAATAGTGGACACCAGGGCTGAAGTTCAAAAAAGAAGTGGATTTATTATTCAAATTGATAACTTACAACATCTGAGCAAAAAGCAAGATCTGTCCAAAAAGCCTATTTACAGATGATTTACATATAAATATGATTTATTTTTTAAGATTTTGTAATACACTTGAACAAATTGTGCCTCAAACTAACTGAGAAAAAAAAAAAAAACTATTAAAACATACTTCACACAATGGCAAAGGGGAATGGTAACCAAGCCAAAGCATCATGTTGCTCAAATCACAATAGGAATGTTGTAAGGCAAATGCAGTCCCGACTGAAGCACTGCAGGTACCGTCCTCTCTCCTCCAGGCAGACGGAGAGCGGCTTTGAATGAAGAATAATGCTAACCCATTGGCTGCATACATGCTGTTTTTGTCTTGTTTTGATTTGTCATAATATTGCAAGACCCCTGTTGAGTTTATACAAACACGTGGTCAGAATGTAGAAATATATTTTAAACTTGTAAATAATTTCAGTTTAAGTTAATTCAATGGGTAGCTGAGTCTTTTGGTTTCGAGGAGACAAGTAACACAAGAATAGAACCACTGAATCTTAAAACACTTCTTTGCAAAGATCCTCACAATCCAGCAGGATGTCCAATGGACAAACACAGATTTTGGAAGATAGTGAATACAACTTAAGGTTTACTGTGAGAGGAAGAAAAGCATACAATCATCATGTGATTTCAGGGTCACGAGTGTTTCTCAGACCTGATGTTAGGAGGGACAAAATTGCCACTCTCTGCATGACAACTTGGAGAAACTAAAAGTGGGAAATGATGGGAAGAAATTGCAATGTTTCAACATGAAGTTCTTTTGCCATGACTTAAAGGCAGTGATGGAAGTTGTGTATGGTAAAGCATGTGGGAAGTTAGTAGAAAGAAAAAATGTTGCTCGGGAGAGATCAATTAATACTTTAATCAGTGTGTGGTACACACACACACACACACACACCAGTCTTTAGTTGCACTTGTTTTAGCACAAATTGCTCTTTTCAGTGGTTCCTCTAAACCACATCTTGCCATCACTTTTTGGACTTACAGCATTTAAAATTTTGTTCCATAGAATCACCTCACCCCCCTTCATATTAACATAACCCGTACAGCCAACAGACAAAACAAAAAACAACAAACTTTACTGGTCTCACCAGAGCTGATCCAACACTAACTATAATGCTCTCTTCACCTCAGCTCCATAAATACTACCCTTACATAAGGTTTGCTTGAAGGTGATTGTTAGATATACTACTTTCTGTCATTGTTTAACAGCATTATCAAAACCAAGTGGAAGAGTAACTGCTGTTCTCATTTAAACAAAAATCACTCAGGGAAGTTCTTATGAAAATTAACTGCTTACAGGAGCAGATGAAAATAGTTGCTGTCACATTTGTCTTCATTTTTAAAATAATATTTCACAGTCACAAACCAATAATGTGTGTCACTGGAAGAGTTCCCTGAGCTGGTTCAGCTCCCATAATCCACATTTCAAGGATGTTTTGCTTTCCTTTGTAAAACGAGGGGTCTTGTAGCTGTGAAAATAAAAGCTGAAGGATCGGATGGCAACAGAAACAAAAAGGGTTGGCGAGATGTTTATTCAAGGTTGCTTGAAGTCCAAAGGATGTTTGCCCTAATTGTTGGGGATGCTCTGCAGATATGTGAGGATGTGCTGGATCTTCACCAGGCGTTCTTTGAGGCTGGTCATGGAGAGGACAGAGAGCTGGTACAGTGGGTCGATAGGCAGAACAGCCAGGAGCCACCAGCAGCAAGCTGGGCCGTTAGGAGTTGCCTAGAAGAAAGGTGGAATAGTCTGTTTCAACGTAGTGAGTAAAACAAAACAATACCTATGTAGATCCTGTGTAACTGCGTGTCTAAATATTTTGTGCGGCTACATTCTTGTTCATACAATTCATGTAACATACCATAACACAGAAGCCTCACTGTTATCCTATCTGCCCTCTTTTGATATGACTTATATGTGAGAGCTGTACTGAAATCCATTAACCTGTTACGTTGCAACTAACCTGCTGACAAAAATAAAATATAATAGATTTAATATTTCTGCAGTTTCACAGGCCTGAAGCTGCTTCAGAGTTAAAGCCTTTCAGTATCTGTGTTATACTCAAGAATTTCCAGATACAGGATTAGTACTCATAGTTTAGTTTAGTACTGATAGTATTTTAAATGTACTAGTATTACAGACATACTGCTAGAACATAAACAACCTTCTATGGTAGTCTGCTTCAGAGTTACACAGCTCAAAAAAAAACCCTGTTTGAGATAGAGAGCTTGAGGCAGTTACAAAATGTGCTTAACACTTATAGGATTTGAAGTGAATGACTGTGCTACATTTTACACTGGCCATTAACCAAAGAATTACTGTATTGTTCCCTGGAACAAACATGTTCAGAAATGACATAACGGCACCAGAAATCATGGTCCATGCTTTGCCGTTTTAGTGCGTGTGCACGTGGTAGAGTTGGGGATTCTCTTCATGACACTCTTCTGACGCAGCAGGTCTGGTGGGATTAGGTATGAAGCACCCATAAAGCTCTTTAGCCTATATTGTCAATGGACTCCGCCCCGTGGTTATCCTAAGAGCAGAGCTGTAATCCCTTTCAGCGCTGCAGGCTGCGAATCAGGGCTGATCACACACAACTGTGTCCCAGTATTAAGACCTCTGAGGAAGGTGAATCCATGGTATCGTGGGTTTCCCCAAAAGGCAAGTGTGTCATGAGATGATCCAATTTTAGACCAAGAATTTGCAGTGTCAAACTCTGCAGTATTTTTTAAGACAATAACATATCGACTGGTGTTGGTCTGCATATCTGGTTATTTAAAAAGCTGTGAGGACCACATGTACTGGAGGCAGGCAGTTAAACAAGTAACCTCTTGTTCTTAACAGACTATTTACCACCATATGATATGCTGGCCAAACACTGCTGAGTATCTTCACAAATGGCTCTGCTTGCCAAACTACGTATTTAAGAATGACTAACACCACAAATCCTGTTTGTCATACTAGTACTTATTCTGCGCAGCCAACATCCTAAGACAAGTTTAAGGTATCATTTTCCAGTTAACTAATTCTAAATACCCTCAAACTCTTATATTTCTTCCAAATTATTCATCATATACAGTATTACTAATAAGGCCAATGCCTGCCATTCATTTCAACTTTCCAAAATATCAGCAAAGTGCAAATATGTGTGTCATAAGACATAAATGCAAGAGAACCACTGCAGTTAAGTCCTTGCCAGAGGCAAACACAAATTTAGACTGCGGGCCTCCCTTCAGACAAAGCTTGGGAAATGCCCCCACCCCAAGCTAAAATTGTTTAATACTGCTGTTTCACATAACTTCTGACTACACCAAATAATTTTAAAAAAGGTCTTTCTGAATCTGATGGGGGGAAAACAGTTCCCAAAAACTTCTGTATCTCTGACCTCTCACGCATGTAGGCTATTCTCTGTGATCTCCTTTTGATAAATGATGAGATTTTGATATAATAAGTATATAAGTAATGTAATGTTTTACTTCCATTCACTGAACCTCCCCTGAAACTGTTTGGAGCCCCCCTAGGGAGGCCCGCCTCTCACTTTGAAAACCCCTGAATTAAACTCAAAAATCAGTGCAAATATAGTGTGTGATTTAAGATTTTACTCAAGAATCCGTTTACAATGTAGTACTTACAGAAACTAATCTGGGCAGGAATACTACAGATGGAAGTAGAGGGACACTGAGCTGGATGTTTACCTGGATATCAGCTTCCCGTTCCGGCATTGGTCCAAAATGCTGCAGGATCTGGTTGTGGAAGCGGATCTTGAGGTTCTGGAACCAGACGCGGGCTTGTTCATACACTGCATCATGCAGCTCTTGTAGTTTCTCTAGCTCATCTCTGTCCTCCACCTAACAGAAAATCAATCAAAACTATAATTTTTTTTTCTATTGTTTCAACTTAAAATCCACTGAAAGGAATTGGCAATGAATGATGACTCAATGTCAAATGGATCTACTTGATGTGACGCCCCACCCAAAATCCACCCCTGTGGACTATTTAGTACATAGATTTTGGGTGAAATATGATTCTAAAAGCACAACATACTGTGGATAATATCATTCAAATAATAATTAGTGTGCTTTTTACCCTTGTATCCTCCAAGTGCTCAATGTCAGCAGTACTGTAACCATCCTTCATTCCTCTGGACAGGACACGGAAGCGCTTTCCTCCTATGGTGTCCACTACTGATCGCCCGTCAGGGAGGAAATGGACACTTCTGATGGTCAGCATACAGCCATAATCTACAAACCTGTAGGGACAGATACAATGATTTATTTAGGCAACTCAATTTTGGCAGTTGAAGTCTTTTATAACTGTCGTTAACAGAAAATCCACAAAAGACTGTGAGCGACTACTGACTGATGTCCTAAAAGGAACCATTTTTTAGATATCCAGATAGGTCTAGTTTTAAGGACCCTAATATTCTAGTTCATACGTGTGCTTGCGCCCTTACCCTTTCTGGGGATCGTTAATACACATCCCAAACTGCCGCGTGCCTGTGTCCATGCAGCGGCGAATCATGAGGCGGTAACGTGGCTCGAAGACATGCAGGGGGCAAGGCACGGTTGGGTAAGCCATGGTACACACAAAGATAGGCACATTCTTCGTCAGACTGCACAGAGAGAGAGGAGCACAGGGACATTTTAGAGCTTTGAGTCTCTTCTGCGTACAGAAACCCCTGACGATGAACACCGGAATTAACCAGGCCAGTGACATAAATGCTTACTTAGAAAGCTCTTTGGTCTCCTCCAGGTGAGCTTTAGTCCTCTCGGCATACTCCTGGCTCAAATACCGTTTGATCAGCATGTCCAAGACAGTTGTCACCACGTACTTCCTACATGCTAGATACTGGAGAGAGCAGGTAAGTTGATGATTAAATCAGGAAGCAAGGAACACATATTTTGATTAGCACGTCGCTAGCCAGTCAAGAAGATTAACATTCAGCTTTAATACATGCCAAGCCTGGCCTCTCACCTCTTTCAGGCTCTCTTTACAGAGGGGGCACTGGGGTGTATGATCCAAGCAGCGTTCCAGACAGTTTTTACAGAAGGTGTGGCCACATGGTGTAGTCACAGGCTCATAGAACAACCTGTATTGATCACAGATAATATTATTTTGAAGGTTCAATCATTTGCAAGTGTACAACAAGAGCTGGCTTTTAAACAAATAAATGCGTGGTATGTGTGCATACAGTAGGGCCCACCAGAGTGTGATCGTACCTCATGCAGAGAGAGCATTCTAAGTCATTGGGCTCGAGCAGGTCCACAGGAACACTTCTGGAGGGTTTAGCTTTGGCTGCCTGTTGTTTGGAGCCTTTCTCCACACCTTAAGTCAACCAGAGTAAAGAAAGCATTTCACAATTCATTTTCTAAACATCCCTGACATAAATATGTTACTAAGTAGGTCATTATATTTGTTGTTTGTTCTTATTAAGAATTTGGATTAGTATCAGAGTGGGGTATACACAGCACAATGTGGGCGAGTGCCTACCCAACCCATCTATATTAAAGTGTGCAATTAAACTGTACGCCCCATTACTACTATTATATGCCTTGAGTTTTTGGTGTGAAATCAGAAGCAGAAGAGATTTGAACAGCAGGATTGGCCACTGACCTTGTTTTTTATGCTTGCTATTTCCATTGTCCACAACACAGGGTTCTGTGTCTGACACTGACAACTTCCTCTTCAGCAGGCTCCCCTTGTCCTGGTCCCCCAGCTGAGGAGCAGAGCAAACTCTCTTCAGGCCCTCCTCGCCGCAACTAATGCCATGCATCCGTAGAGAATGAGCTCGGCTCAGACCAGGCCGCTCCAGGCTTTCCGAGCGTTTCTGATTAATGACAGTAGACAGCGGGGTAAGCAGATGATGGTGGTTCTTTATAAACACATGGCGACAAAAGCACTGAATCATTAATTTATAAGTTACATTATATCATTATTCAGTTTGCTAGTACCTCCTGGTAGTCCAGATGGTGGTGTGCTGAGGCAGCGCGGACCTGGTGCTGGCTCTGTCTTTGGACCGGGCTCTGTGGCTGAGCTTGGGCATCGGCCACGAGGGTTTTACTGCGCAAGAGAGGCGACGTGTTCTGTGTTGTTTCCCGCAGGCCAACCTTGATGTTCTCATCAGCCGGGGAGAGCAGGGCACACAGGATCTGTAAAGAACACTCAGTTTGTCATCAAATGTCACCAAAGACATTAACACGATTATGACTAAGAACCCCAATCTGTGCAGGAGTAAGAAGAATATGAAGGTAGTCAATTGATGCAAACGTGTGTGCTGGAGTCATATTTTCCTTAAATAATCACGAAGAGTCTTGTCTTGTTGATGGTGTCCCATAAAATTCAATCTAACCACCAGATGTTGGCATCACTCCAAGTATTGCTCTCGCTGATTTATGCTGTTCACTTTTTCCTCTGAAAGCACATCTTGTAGGATTTGCCAGCCAAGGCTACTGTTTTTAGCAAGTGATATCTGTACATAGAGTTTTAAGTATTCACAAAAAGTCTGAAAGTTGTTGTTTGAAAGTGTTTGGGGTGCATAAAATCTAAAATTTCATTCTTTTGAATTTGCCAGGTTTTGTCAAAAAAAAGAACTGTTGTGGTGGCAGCCCGGCTGACTGTGAGTATCCTGGTTATTTCTCCTTTTTTTTGTCTGATTCTGTTTTCCCTGGTTTCTTCCCTGTACTCTGCCTACCTCCCTGTGTCTCCTCCCCTGTGTGTGCCCTCTCTCTCTCTCTCTCCGTTCCTGAGCCCAGCCAACGACCTGCACCTCGTCAGCCACCTCCTCTGCCTGCCACACCTGCCAGCAATCAGCCTCATCTCCCACAGTACTTCTACCCCGGTTCTCCACTCCATCGCTGCTTCATCGTTGTTGCTCCTAACCTGGTGCCACTTGATCCCTCAAGCTTTCACGTAACCTGCATGATCTGTCTCACTGTTCTCGGTTTTTCCGGAGTCACTAACCCTGTTTGTCTGTCTGTCTCTCCCCAGGTTCACTCACCCTCGTCCTCTGTCAAGTCGGCTGGGCTCGCTCACCTGCCCTCTCCCCTCGGACTTCCCCCACAACGTCCTCCCAGCTCTCCCTTGTGCCTCCCTAGTCAGCCTGCCACCACACTCCTCCACCAACCCCCTGACCAGTTCTCCTGTGCCTCCTCTCTTCCTCGGCCCCCAGTGTCTCTCGGCTCACTGGTCTCAGTCTCCTCGTTTCCCCGTACCTGCGTTTCCCCGGCGTCCACCTCTCCCTCAACTCCAGTCCCTCAACCCCTTCTTTCCCCAAATAAAACCTGTTAACCTTGAGTGTTGTATTTGGGTCCACTCTGTCCACTTCACAACAAGAACTGCTTTAAAATAGAGTGAGGAAAAATATCATTTTTGTCCTCTTAGCACAAAGTGGTTACTGCCAAAAGATGAAACCACAAAATAATGTAAATCTAATTCCGTAACCAAGAACAGAGTTGGTCGTGATGATGTACATGGTTGTGAGGTGAAAAGAGAAAGCAAACTTTGTTCAAGGAGTTTCAAGTGCCATGTTCAGATTAGATATCAACATGACCTCAGTTTGTATGACTCAGTAGCAATGACCATCAACCCCTTCTTCTGTGTTAAGCTCAACCATGAGTGTCTGAATTACAGATAATTAAACGTATGCATAGCTAGTGCTGTAGTGCATCACTCTTCACACATCTTTCCTTTTAATCTATATTTGCATTATTGTCCAGAAACCCTGTGTAAGAGTTCAAAAAGTTACATTTGGTGCCCAGAGTTTAAAGCTACTTTTTCAACTAATGTGTAACCATGTGCTCAGCACCGTTTGGATGCCTTATCTCTCATGGAGGGTGACAAGGATGGAGGCTGTCATTTTCAATATCATTCATTTGCTGTTTTTTCATTATATGGGTGTTAGGAAGGCCATTGAGAGTGTGATTACAAGTTACATAAACTTGATTTGACATTCTATTGACGCACGCTCTCTGGCTCCCACACTGTGTCTAGCCTGAGATGTGTCTACTTCATTATCAGAAAGATAAGGAATTCAGACACAATGTCAAAACAACCAACAACCCTTAACAACAGGGGCAATCAATTGTACATGCTTTATATTTAAGTGAAAACTGGAGATGACTAATGTTATTATATATGCTTCCTTATACAATGATGAATCAGAGGTGATTACACAAAACTTGAGGAGCATTAGCAACTGAATGCAACATAGTTTCATCTCAGAATGGCAACAAACTGTCATGTTATTCTGACAATGCGAGTAGTACTGCATACAATGCTGTGCTCTGTGTAGTATTAAGTGGTACTAATGTCACTGCACACAGAGTCACAAGGCCTGACTGACTAACAACTTTCCTTCAGAACATGTTTGTTCCATTTACTTAGCATTTCTCATTATGTAACCACAATGGTTGTTTATGTTACATTTGTTTTCATTACAGATTAATATAGCAATATTTTTTTTCAATTTGTAAATGTCAAGATCAATTTTGTCTATTAACTGTTAAAAGTGACAAATACTCAGATCTTTATGAGAACCCGAAGCCATGTGTTTTGTAGACACATTTGCATCCATTGTCTCTGAAACAACATATTTTATTTTCAATTTATATAGGATTTATATCAGTCAGAATAATATTACCATTGAAAATAATCTCTGTCAGCACATTTCAGACACGTTTTCTATACATAGAGGACAATGCATGATGGAAAATGGAAATCCTATTAAAAGCACAGCAATGCAAAGAAAACTGTCATCAGGATGCCTATAAAACACAGCATCTCTACCTTGTTTCCAGTTAAACTGTGTAGTTAGTTATAAACTTTAAGGGGGATTTTCATACCATGAAAAGAGACAGGCTCCATTATCTCAATGTAGTACACCGTAAAACTTCAATTAAAAGCCTAGTCACAATTAGACGTCTGTCCCTTTTACTGGCCTGGTGTGGCCACACGTTTGGACTAATAAATGCAGGTCTCAATTACACCCCTGGTCCGGTTTTTATGGAAGTTCTCTGGATGTACAAAACTTCTTAAAGCCCACCAGGTCGTTCGCTTGAGCAAGTTCTAAGCTGCTTAGAAAGCACATACAAGTATAGGCAGGGTGAATCAGTGATTGCAGCCAATAAAAGCCCGGGATATAAATTGAAGTTTTATGGTAACAGCAGAAGCTATAAAAAAAACACAACAAATGGCTTAGTGCATTAAAGATCATGATGGAAGAGCTTTAAGTTCACAGGTATCCAATCAAAGAGGTGAGAAACTGCCTAGATTCTTTGAAGCAGTGGTACGAGTTTTACTTAGATCTTTGGCTTACAGTGTATTAAGGCTAGCTCCTCCAGCCTACTTACATAATAAACACTGTGTGACCTAAACTCCAGTGACTGCCAGACGTTAGGATGACAACAAGACGAGTAATGTGGGACTTTACGATGATTCTAATATTTTGTCTTCTTGAATATTTTCACACAAACCACAACTCCTTTCTCTTAAAATCTCTCACCTTTTCCACTTGTCTTTTAGCACAGGGAAAGTCTTCATCCACAGACAGGCAGTGGAGGAAGACTTGGAGAGACTCGTCCACTTGGCCCATCTCATGCAGCACCATAGCTTTCCTAAACACAGCCTGAAAGTGCAGAAAGTGCATCTTAAGGAAACACTGGATTTGAAATCATGCTGAACTGTTTCAAAACAGCCAGACAGAACACACAAGAGAGATGCAGCTTTTTCTAAAGGCCATATTTCTGTGCTATTCAATATAAAAAAAAATCACCAATTATGCAAGTACTTTTGAATGATGTACTTTGCTACACAAACAAAGTATATCCTAGGCTTCAACTCAGACATTTGGTCTCTTGTTACTGATGTAATAGTCATTAATGGCTTTGACCTTAATTACTGCATGCAGTGATGAAGGCCTTTTATACAACCTTAAAAATGAACAAGAGGTCATTAAAAATGTGCCTTGTAAATAAATAAACCTAAAGAAATTATTCATACTATGATTCAGTAAATTCAGCTGCCAAAATATGCATAAACAATGTACTTTTAAAATTATTTTATAACAAAGCGAATGAATGAATAAACATGATTATTTATAGATGTCTGCTAACTGGCCTACAATTAACATGTAACTATAATCCAATGACGTGACAAATGAGGCTCTCCCTGCCTGCGGCATTCAGGGTGGCAGTCTTAAAATACACCTGTTCTTAGTAATGGCTGGTTGACCAATATATCAGATTGACCACATGCCAGACTCTAGTTACTAAAAGCCAGACTCCAGTAAGTAAAGGCAGGTGTCTTCAGCATTGCTACAGCATTGCTACAGCATGCCTACAGAACCGGGAAATGCAAACATCCTTAGAGTACCAACAAAATACCTTGTATTAAATTTGGTGTAATCATATCTGTCAGTGATTATCCTTTCATCATAAAGTCAGTTACACTTCTGAAACATGGGATAACAAATTACTGCAGTATGAGTGACCTACTTCAGCGGAACAGCTGGACCCGGGACAAAATTCTGTGTCCTCCAAAGCCAGACGATACTGTTTGAGAGCCATGTATGCCTCTGCTCGAGACAGTCGTACCGCCACTGTTGTTTCTGGATCTGCAGGACACACGAGCAAATGTTATTTCTTTTATTTCTTTATTTATTTTTATTTTGGAAAGCACAGCGTTTTAGTTTAGACAGACATAATTCAATTGCGGGTAAGTTCAGTTCCTGAAGATCATACACACGAAAATCACAAATTATATATTGCAAACAATATACGGTATGCAAACAATGCAAAGGAAAGCACAGTAGAAAAGTTGCATAAGCCTGAAAGAGCAGCAAGGTATTTTTTTTAAATTTCTGTTTCCATTGGTCGTCCATTGCATTAAAGGGGACAAATACTGGCGTGTACTAAAAAAACAATAACAAACAATATCAAGAAGCCTAATATAACCCCAAACACTTTCAGGAATGGCTAAACTATTCAGGATAATATTTAAGAACAAACCTAAACATGGCTATTGTATTTCTGTGGATGTGGAGTGCGTTAAGTGTCAATCTTTTGAAGCAGTCCAGTACTAATTCATTTTATTAGTGGGTTTCCTGGCATTCAATGAGACGTTCAGTAAGTTTAGTATTTCTTACTGACTGAGTTGTGATTTTTCAGCACATGGCACGCAATCAATCCAAGTAATTTATTACCTCTCACTGAGGGGTGGGATTTCATACATTTTTCTTATGTATGGCAGATTATATTCCATATATATAACCATAGGTGTTCGGATCACTCAGGTTCTTGCATTAGTTTAGGTCTTTCACTAAATACCCTACAGGCAATGTTTCAGTAACATGACGTCAACAAGGATACACCAATCCAAGCAAAGGTAAATCAAGGGCAACTGGACTTGGTTGAAGATACTGGAAGACGTCTCCCCTCGAGTCTTGCCCTTGATTGAACCTTTGTTGGATTATTATGACCTGGGATACACCAAGGTTACATGTGTGTTGTATAATTTAACGCAAGTGCCATGGATGCTTCCATAAGCCCCCATAAACCAGGTGATGAAGGTCTAGAATAATTTTGCAGCCAAACTGTCAGACCACCAGATCATTTGTCAGGGTTTGGAACATGAGATCAATCACCACATTTTGACAACAATAAATTAAAAAACTGAATGAAAGGAAGTCACCGTCGTTCTTTCCTGCATGGTCAGAGGTAATTTGTGATTCAGATGTTCTGAAGTAATGAAAAAAAGACTATTTCTCTTGCGAGGCAGTGCCATGCCCACAATGCATCATGGCATTTTAGTTTGTTTATTTAGTTTTTTAGTTCTAGGAGATCCCACTGGAAGACAGTCCATGATAACCATACCTTGCCCCATTATAATCTAGGTACTGCTTGGTGTACATGCAAGGCAGTTTCCAATTTAAAGGTAATCTCCAGAAGAACAGCTGGGCCTTTAGTGTTGCTGAAGTGCACATTGGACCATTGCTGTTACTGTTGAAAGTACCATCTCATTCACTTCACCAGCAACCACAAACCCCCATCATCACTGGCTTGTTAACTATAAATCATATGCCACCGAGGTGGCGTTAACTTAGGTTAGTTTATCTCATTGCGTAACGTTAGGTTGTGTTACAAAAGCTAGACAGGTTACAAAAGCAAACTCGCTCCCTGGTTGAGTTTTAATCTGGACCACCAGCCGGCCCTGGCCTCCTAATCGACCCGCACGCGGTGCATTCATCCCCTTTTTTAAACATTTATAAAACCGTATCTTGTAACAGCTATACAGTTAGAAAACACAAACGCCCTCCTTCATAAGTTACACAACCTGCCCAAATGTGTGTATGACCCTGCCTTATGCAACTGGCACCGAGCGCGCATGCCCAGGTTTGTGAAGTTTCGTAAGGCCAATGATCCAGTACACAAAAACCAATGGGAGGAGACTGGCATCAGCACATGGGAGTAATGGTAAAGGTTGGTTTTCAAAATGTTGGTCAGTAGAACTCACTCTACTAATCCGCCTGACAACAAACAATGACTATAGTATCATGTTTAAATATGTAATTGTACACACGGTTAATTTAGTAACGTCTCAATAACACATCATACCGCCCCCACTGAGCGTGCGCAGACACAACCAGGAAACACCTCCCTCTTTATGAATCATGGTGGTGTAAGGTTATGCGTTACATTTAACAACACTTACCACACTGAATTACATCTGTCGCTAACGACACCGCTTCTTGGTAGCGTTTTTTCCTACACAGCTCGTCCACTTCGCATAGTGTTTTCGACGTTCTCAGCTCGTCGGGGAACCATTTATCTAAAAGTCCGCACAGAATTACATTCACTTTCTCCTCGCCTGTGACAGTTTCATTGCACAGCTTACATTTGGAGAGCAGCCTCCGTTGTAAACACCTCTTACAGTACGAATGTCCACAGGCTATGGTCACAGGTTCGCCTATAAAACTATGACAGTTGGGACAGTCAAACATATCGTCCTCTGAGCTGTCCCCTGCGTCCCGACTGTGGTCCGAAAGTGTGTCTGGCCCAGCTGCTTTTCTCCTAAAGTTGCGGACAACACAGTCCACGAAAGTGCTTAACTGTTCAGGTCTCACCGGCCCATACCGCATAGCCACTGAAAACCAGTCAATGGCTTCTTTGAGACAGTTTTCCGATGCTAGAGCGTTGGCTTTCTGTAGTATAAGTTGATGGTGGTCCTCATCTTCCGAGACGTCCGAGTCGGTACAGATAAAGAAGGCGCTTCTCTCTTCTGCCGCTTCTTCCACTTGCGATTGAAGCGACATTGCAGCGGCAAAAAAATCGGGGACAAATATTAAGTCGATTTTCTTCTGTTAACGTCCCCATACATTGCTATAGCTGTCGCGGCCCTAACAGTAATAGTGAACCGACTTTTTCATAACACTCGTTTGTTACGTAAAAAAGACTGTCACGTGATCAGCAAGCAACAGCCGTGATTGGTCAGATCGTCTCTGTTACAAAACCTGCGTTCAAAAGTTTTATAACTGCGGAAGAGGCGTAGTGAAGTTGACTGATTTACAGCGGTCTGTGTTTAATACCTCCATATCGGGCTACAATTATGCTGTAAAACAATGTAATAAAAACATAATATAACAATGTCAGAATCAGCTTTATTGCCAGGTATGTGTACACATACGAGGAATTTCACTCAGGATTGTACATTGCTCACGATGTGCATAATTATACAATAACACAAAATCACAATAATAAAAATAAAATAAAATCAGACACAGACTTCAGTGTAGCCAACACAAATATACACTATGAACAAAAACAATATAGACATATTGACAAATAGTGCAGTGAGCAGAGTGCAAAGGATGCAGGAGCATGTCAGAGGTGGATGTGATATAGCTAGAGGTACATATACATGCATACATGTACACATGTTCACAGTGCAATGAAGCATAGTGCAAAGGATGCTGGAATAAAGTAAAATAAGTATTTTGTGCAGGAGTAATGACTTGAGGTAGGTGTATTTGTATACAGTATCTACAATATGACAATATAACAGTATGAACAGCACTGAAATAGAGAATGGTGAATAAATAATAAGTCAGTAAACAGGTGGCTGATTAGAGAGTTACTGGGTTATTTCACAAGAATTGTTCCTGACACCGTGAGTCGGAAATCAGCTGTTCATCAGAGTGATGGCTTGTGGGAAGAAACTGTTCCTAAGTCTGTTGGTTTTGGCGTACAGTGCTCTGTACACACTAAAAACTCCTGGGTCAAAAAAAAATAACCCAACTTCTGGGTCAAAAGAACAACACCAATATCTGGGTTGAAATAGCACAGAAATCAGTTGGTCCCTTTTTAACCCAGGAGTTGGGTCAAAAATAACCTAACTTGGGTTACTATGCCAGTATGCCTTATTTCAGAAAATCAAACTCTGTTTTACATTGTATCTGTCACAGTGTGGTGCAGGCAGAAGAAGAAGAGGAGTCCAAAGTTCCAATTCAAACGTTTTACTAATAAAGTAGGCTAACTCCAAAAGGTACAGACAGGCAGGATGTACACACACTAAACAAGACTACAAAGTAGAACGGCCAAAGACTTACTGAACTGAAGGAACTAAATACTAACACAGATGAACATTGATTAACAGAACACAGGTGGAACAGATGATGATGATGATGATGGTAATTAACTAAACACAGGTGATGCAGATGAACTAAATGACAGAAACCATGGAAACAGATGAGTGGCTGGAAAACAGAACAAAGGAAGACGTGACTAGGGGTGACTGTGACAATATTAAACACTTCAAGCACTTTTACATTTTTATTGCATTAAATTAAATTAAAGTCTATATAAACAATTGAAAAATAAACAACTCTCAAACATTCTGTTTGCCATGTGGTGATGGGGAAATGGATAAGACACAGGCCTGTGGTGTGAGAGACCCAGGTTCAATTCCCCACTGTGACCCATCTCCAGATGTGTGCGACCTCTGACATGTATAGCATATAAGTCGCTTTGGATAAAAGTATCAGCTAAATCAATAAATGTAATTCTCTCTCACACATTTGACAACATTCAATAAATGGATTGAATTTAAGGCTTGAAGTCTTCAAACACTGGTTGTGTCATGTGTGACTTTACATGGACTTTAAACTAGTTAGATGTACATGGCAACCACAGAATTACCACGGCTAACGCTAGTCTCAACGTAGCAACTAAGCCATACTAATTTTTTCAGCAAATGGTGCTAAACTAGCAATGAGGATATGGACACAGAAAAGTTACATCAACACTGAAAATACTTGCTTACCTTGAATACACGATGAAGTTGCACCGAAGAAGCAGAGGCCAAAACGGATCGAGCGCGAGGTGACAGTTATTTCAAACAACTGTTGTAAGAAAAACACCCAGAACAACTGCGGGGTGGTTGCTATACATTCATGCCAATAAAGTTAATTAGAATTTGAATTTGAGAGAGAGAAAGCTAACCATATAACCCAGAACATGGGTTACTCTTTGAAAAATAACCCAGAAACCCAAAACAACCCTGGAAAGTAAATCTGCTTCCTGGAGAAGGTGATTGGCCTATATTGTGAATTACAATCACCAGAGAAACACACGCACACATATTATATATGTATATGTCTATGAAGATTCTCAGTCATCCAAGTCATAGTTATCCAACGAAGGTTAAAGTCAAGGTAAACTGGACTTGGTTGAAGATACTGGAAGACGTTTCATCCCTCATCCAAAGGACTTCTTCAGTTCTGACTGACTGGCAGGGAAACTCAGCTATTTAACCTCAGTTGGGTCGTTTGCCAGGGTCATCGATACTGCTGGTTCGTTAGTGTTCCTTGTTGCTGTAACGACAGTCGTTACAGTCGTTAGGACTACTGGTGGCTAAGACTGAACGACCATCGTTGGTATCTTCACCTGAGGCCAATAGGTTACGTTTGTTGAGTTTCCTGGGAAGTGATGAAAGGACAGCATTGTAAGTGGGGGATAAGTGGTGGCGTAGACCCCCTCCTCTATTCAATGACGGCTTCTCAACCCTGGTGTAGATGGCTTCCTTGACACCTCTTTCAAACCATCCATCTTCTCTGTCTAAAATGTGCACCTGGTGGTCCTCAAACGAGTGTCCTCTGTCCTTCAGATGTAAGTAGACTGCAGAGTCTTGACCTGAGGAGTTGGCCCTTCTGTGTTGAGCCATGCGTTTGTGTAGTGGTTGTTTAGTCTCCCCAATATACAGGTCTGTGCATTCCTCACTGCATTGGACCGCATACACTAGATTGCTTTTCTTGTGTTTGGGTGTGCGGTCTTTGGGGTGTACCAGCACAGGGATGTTGTGTTTGTTACAAATCCTCCTTCAGCCTATATATTCATTACTTTTGTACTGTAGTGTACTCTAGACTTGTTTTCTTTGTTTCTTTGTCAGTGGAATCTCGCTGGATAGCTTGGGGGCTGGGCAATTAGGCGGAGAAGGTCTGGAGGTCAACCAGGCTGAAGGATGGAGCACCTCTGGATTACAGCCTGGATGCGGAATGCACCACAGGAACTGGCGACTGCTGCGGCACAGGAACAATGAGCCGATGCAACTGCCGGGTCACCAACTGGGGACCAGCACCAGGTGTTGGCCGGGCCACCGACTGGAGACCTGACAGGGCTGGTGGCAGCTCTGTAGCACTGAGCAGCGAAGAGGTTGAGGTGCTGGGCAGCTCGTTCTCTGTGGCGCTGGGTGGCTGTGACTCTGTGGCACTGGGCAGCTGAGGCTAGCAGGCTATCTACTGGGCAAGCTTAGGGTCCAGCTTCCAGTAGAATGCGGATGATAAGATATTTATATATACAGCCTATAGCACCTTTTAAAACAAAGTTACAAAGTGCTTCACAGGATACAAATAAGAAACTATATACAGAAAGATAAATTGTAGCTCCTTTACAGGGAAGGCAAGTTGTTGATTTTGGTGGGTTTTAAGTTTTTTAAAGCCATTTACAAATTCAGCTGATCTAACAGCCCTGACGGCAAAAGCCTTGGACGGATGATTTAAATAGCAAGTGGAATAAGGATGTAAGTGGCTACGCACATTGGCAGGCATTTATTCTTGTGCATCCATGTGTCCGTTAATCTGCAATTACACCCCCAAACGCTAATCAGTAGTAGCGCTACAACGTCCACTGTGCTGGCCTTTGCCGGCCGAGCAGGCTAACTTCCGGTTTAGCCCTCCGCTAACGTGAATTGGGGGAAAAATTGAATACGTGCGGCTGGTGTAGCCTTTTCAAATTTTATCGACCGAGTGGATCACATTCTGATAGTGTAACGAGTCATTTCACTCGGGTTGTGACGGTCAAATATATTGATCCATCGTGCTACAGCCGCTGTTTTGGCCGCTAGTGAAAGTTACTTCAAAGCACGGGCACTTCCTGTCGGCTCAGAGGCATTGCGAGGTTACCCAGCCGACAAATCACAGAGCTTACGGTCCGCTTCAACAGCGTAGGGTAGGAGGCTACGCAGAGGCTACGCCGTCGACTTGACGCAGAAATATAAATTTCACTTAAGGCAAGGATTATACTTTCTGCGTCCGCGAGTAGGCAAGGGTCAGAGGGGGTGGGGGCTAGTAAGAGATGTGATTGGGCCGGCCCAGTGTATAGAAAATCACCCAAAAGCACGTGTATCACCCATAGGTCATAGAAAATCACCCATAGGTCGTTGGCCTATTTTTAAAAAACAGTTTTTATAAATAAATAATTTATGTTACACTTATTATTACAGCAGTCAATCTTTTTGGGTAGGAGTCTATTAGCATGGCTATTTCTTGACGTGGCAATATTTGCCCACTCTTCTTTGCAAGCGCTCCAAATCTGTCAGATTGCCAGGACATCACCTGTGCACAGCCCTCTTCAGATCACCCCACAGATGTTCAACTGGTTTCAGGTCAGTTCAGGTGGGCTCTGGCTGGGCCATTCCAAAACATTAATCTTCTTCTGGTGAAGCCATGCTTTGTGGATTTGGATGTGTACTTTGGGAAGTTGTAGTGCTGAAGGGTGAACTTCCTCTTCACCTTCAGCTTTCTAACGGACGCCTGAAGGTTTTGTGTCAAAATTGCCTGGTATTTGGAACTGTTCATAATTCCCTCCAGCTTGACTAAGTCACCGGTTCCAGCTGAAGGAAAACAGCCCCAAAGCATGAAGCTGCCACCACCATGCTTCACTGTGGGTATGGTGTTCCTTGGGTGATGTGCAGTGGTGATTTTGCGGCAAACATACCTTTTGGAATTATGGCCAAAAAGTTCTACCTTGGTTTCATCAGACCATAACACATTTTCACATGTGCTTTTGTAAACTTCAGCCAGGCTTGGATGTTTTTCTTTGAAAGAAAAGTCTTCCGTCTTGCCACCCTACCCCATAGCCCATTCATATGAAGAATACAGGAGATAGTTGTCA